CAAAAATCACGACATTATAGGATAAAAAATCTATCCATGATAAACATAGGTAAGTTGCGAAAATAGACAGGTGATTGTGCAACTTAAATCCCTTATTGATTTTTAATTCTGGTATGACAAAAGCGCAACTAGCATTGTTATGTTGGTCCTTTGACCCATCCGTGAATACTTTTAAATAATGTTTATACTGAGTTTCTATCATGATATTTGCTTTCACTTTTAATCAGGTGTGGTAAATCTATTTTGGAGTTAAAATCTTTTAATTACATGTTAACAATCGGTTCTGTAAAATGCCATGGCGGTATTTGACTTTCTTTATATATTATAACATTATTTCTGAGAAATTGTTTTCTTTTAAAGTTTCTGTTGCAATTAACGCAAATGGTTTACATTTAATATTTTCACAATAGAATTCGAAAATACACAGTGGCGGATCCAGAACTTTTCATAAGGGGGGCCCGCTGACTGGCTTAAGGGGGGCTTTATGCTTCAGTGATTCCCTATATAATCAACCAAATTGTTCCCACAAAAGGGGGGGCGGGCCCCTCAGGGCCCCCCCTGGATCCGCCTATGATACATGTATCTTGAATAGCTTTTTTAACTGGGTGCTTATTATCAAATGTAGATATATTCAAATATGCTTTTGCAATTAACGCCTTTTTTCTAACATCTTAGGGTGGGTCTCCTATTTCTATCTGTAATGCTTTTAATGAAGCTGACTTCATGGAACCTGTACATATACGCAAAGATTGTGTCTGTATTTTGTCTAGTCCATTCTTAATAGTTGCAGAGGCTGTATTATATACATCACACCCATAGTCTATTGTATATCTTACTAGAGCTATATATATATATAGTGTGTAACTAGTTGCTCCGCATTTTGTTCCAGTTAAAAGTTTCATACAATTTAAAATTTTTGTACATCTTGTATTGATATATTGTACATGACTTCTCCAAATGAGCTGTCTATCAAAAATAATTCCGAGGAATTTGGCTTCTTTAACTACTTTTAAAATATGATTTCCTATTTTCAATACAATACTATTGCAATTTGTTTTCCTAGAAAAAAATCACTGTTACTGTTTTTGAAGGTGAGAGTAATAAACCCAATTTGAGCTCCATTTGCTTATACTATCTAAGTCTTCTTGATTTTTTTTTTCTGTAAAATTTTTATGATGATGATCCAGATTTCAATATTGCTCCGTCATCTGCAAATTGTGACATTTCACAATTCTTTAAACAATCTGACAAGTCAATAACCATGATATTAAAAAGTGTTGGACTTGTACAACTTTCCTGGGGGTAACCATTCTAATAAACATGAATATCTGAAAAAGTATTGTTTATCTTAACCTGTAAGACTCTATTTGAGAGAAAATATTAACATAAGCAAGCATGTTGCCTTTTAATCCCATTTTTTCATTTTTTTCAATAACCCATGTTTCCATAGCATATCAAAAGCTTTTTTGAAATCAATAAATACTCCCACTGTAATGTGTTTTTTGACAAAAGATTTTTGTATTTCGTTTTTCTAAACGTATACATTGTTGTGTTTTTTTTCTATAACCGTTTTGATTTGGGTTATATAAATTATTTTTTTCCAAAAACCATCTTAGTCTGTTGTTAACCATTTTTTTCATTATCTTACTAAAATTAGATGTTAAAGCAATAGGTCTATATGATAATGGATCACTGGGATCTTTACCATGTTTAAAACTAGGAATGATTGTAGAATGTTTCCAATCTTTGGGAATTTCTTGCAATATCCATATTTTATTAATGAATAGTAAAAATATACTTAAGGTTTTATCAGTTAAATGGTGAAACATACTATAAGTTGTTCTATTTTGCCCCGGAGAGCTATCATTAGTATCTGCTATTGCATCTTTGAATTCTTGTAATGTAAATTCTTCAATATAGCAATCTGTATTAATTTGTAATATTCAATAAAATCATTTTTTTTCTTGCTCTGTTCATGCTGTTTTAGTCTTTAATTTTTTGAAATAATCATTGTAATTTGATGTACTACATTTTGTACTAACTTTACAATAATTATCTGCAAACACATTTGCTATTTCTTTCGTATCAGTCACAAATCTATTAAAGTTTTTTAAAATATGATTATTTGTCCTAGTACGTATCTTTCCTTACATATTTTTTACATTATGCCATAGATCTGAAATGTTATTATTACAATTAAGACTAGTACAATAGTTAGACCAGTGGTTGTCCTGGTACTTATCTTTCCTAACATCTTTTTTGCATTATGCCATAGACCTGAAAGATTATTATTATAATTAAGACTAGTACAATAATTTGACCAGTTGTTGTCCTGTGTTTCTTTTAATACTTTTTTACAGACTCTTTCTTTATCTTTATAAGTTTAAAAATCATTGCCATTTCCAGTGTGTCTTGCTCTATTTCTAGCTTTGTTTCTAGCTTTTATAGCTGATGTACACTCCTCTGTCCACCATGGATCACAAGGTTTGTTGATATTCTGAAATTTCTTAATGGAAATATGGGTGCATGCTATATTTATTAATTCAGTAGTTAATGTATTGTTAATTTGCTCTATATCATCTGTAATTAGATTCTCTGTAGATTTAATATCACATTCTTTTGTGAAGCTTTTCCAATTTGCTTTTTTAAAATTCCATTTGGGGGATTAGTCACTATTGATATCTCCAATATATATATTTGAATCAATGTAAACACAAAAATTATCATTTCCAAAGGTTGAATGTTGATCTACTGACCAGTTCATTTTTTGTCCAATATTTGGACTACAAAAAGTTAAATCTAAACATGATGTTTCTAAATTGATCGGGTTTAGTCTTGTTCCTGATCCTTCGTTTAAGAGACATATATTATTATCTTGAATGAAGTTAAAAAGTTATCTACCTTTAGTATCGGTTCCCCCCCCCCCCCCCCCCCCCCCCCCCCCCCCATAATGTATGGTGGGCATTACAATCACCACAAAATATATAATCTGTTGTAATTTGACTAAAGAGACTATCATAGTCTTTATGTTTAGTGTCTGATTTAGAGTCATACAAATTAATGTAAATGGCAGAAGTTTCAAATGTACTTTGAAAATCTACTGTACTATAACTAATAAATTGTTTAATATCAATGGTTGTTCCACCTCTATTAACCCCTCTACTTGAGAATGTTGCACGACTGTGTAACCTGGGATTTCAGGATAGTCTTTTTCTGAAATACAGAACGTTTCTTGAAAACATAAAATGTTTGGCGTATCTTGAATATTATTTAAGTGCCATATAAATTCCGATATGTGAGCCCTGATTCCTTGACAATTCCAATGTGCCAAACTTAGTTGTAAAGCCATCACTATTATTAAGTTATACATTATATTTGACATGAATGTAAACAGTATGTATTTCATTATTATGTACAAGTTTAACTATAACTTAATTTGTTACCGTTAACTTATCCAGTATATATGTAACACTCCCAAACGTGTCCTTCCCCCCAAACGTGTCCGATCCCCCCAAACGTGTCCGATCCCCCCAAACGTGTCCGTAATTATCAAACGTTGCCCAAACGTGTCCGATTTCATAACCCCCAAACGTGTCCGATAATTGTTATTCGCCCAAACGTGTCTACTGTTATACGCCAGAACGTCTCATGTCTTTTAGCGCTAATATGTATTTAATGACGTCAATAACGTTGACGGCAATTCAAAGATGGGGGACACAATTGAAGATGTCGGGTTTCGTTTAGACTCTAAAAAAAGGTCAAAACCGCTATCGAAAGACATAAATGCAGAAGTATTTTGGGCACAATTGCCGGAAATTAAAAGAGTTACTGAATTAAAAGAAGAAAATCCAAAATGGGGACCAAGAAAAATTTCAGAGATTGTAAAAGGAGTAACAGAAAGAATGATAAAAAAATATATTCAATTGTATTTTTTTGACAAAGAAACAAAACAGGTTTACAGAAGAAGTGAAAGCCTAAATGATGGACATAGAAGATGCGTAACCAAATTAGAGCTAATACAGTTAATAAAGATAAATCACGAAACAGACCACAGGAAAAATGATACAATCTATGAGACAATTAGGCATGCTGTTTTTCCCTTAGGACGAGAGAGTATAAAAATTCTATTCAAAAATGAAATTAACTGCTCTAGCTGTAATGCAGCTGTGGAACTCCCTAAAACAACAAGGACTAGAAAACCAATTCCAGCCACTTACCCAAATAGTCGGTGGCAGATTGACTTGAAGAAAATGCCTTGTTACAAAGGATATAATTACGTCTGCAACATTCTAGACTGTTATTCCAGGTTTGCGTTTGGATGTGCCACAAAAACCAAAACGGCAACGGAAATTGCTGACATTTTCTTAAAATTTATTTACCTTTATGGTGCACCGCGTATATTACAATCGGATAATGGTAAAGAATTCACCAATAAGGATCTAGAAGGAGTCGTTGAGGAGTTTAAGTCAAAACAAATACATGGCAGACCGTACCATCTGCAGAGTCAAGGGAGAGTAGAGAGATTTAACAGGACAATGACAACCTTTTTTCGTGTGAAAATGAGCACTGTAAAAGACTGTGTTGAAGAACTTCCACATTTCTACTATACCTACAACAACAGAGTTAATTCAGTAACCAAGCCGTTAACTCCTTATCAAATGTATTTCAAAAGACAAAATTTTGCTACATCGGTGGAGGAACAGGTTTGTAATTATGGAATTTATGTTAATGTTTCAATTAAACCGTTCATAAAAATAATATAATAAAGATATTCAGATTGCAACACAATTTAATTGTTTTAAGCTGTGTTCAAATAAATTTTATACTGTAATAATGTAATACACTGCATATTTGTATTTAATTTTAAACTTCCCTATATCTCAGAGACACAGAAAAATATTTCATAGATCTTAAACTTTAATTGTGTAACATTGTTTAAGGTGCGATAGGTCAACAATTTATTTGTATGGTAACATATTGCAATAAAAACCATTGCTAAATAATAAATTGATCGTTGGTTACTTAACGTCCAGTGACAAATATTTCATGCATGTTTAGGACGCAAGATGGTAAACTATAAAAGGTCCCGTTATGACAGAAGGAAAAACTATAATTAACTTAACCGTAACAGAAATAAAATGAACAGCTTAAGTTATGAAATATAATAATAAACTTGTGTATTTTTCAGATAGCATACCAAAATTTAACTGAAGAAGAAAGATTGTTTTTGAGAAACGCTCATCTAGATGTTGACGACGAAGTAGAAAATGAGTGTGAAATCAAACCAGAAAATAATCAGCAGGAGAATATTATGGATACGGCAACTGATGAGAATGATGACCAGATATCATTAGAAGGTATTCAACTTAATATGCTATTGAAAGTACATGCTTAAATAATTTAAATTTCAGATGATTGGATAAAGCAAATTTAAAAACTAAATTATTTTATAAATGTATTGCTTTCCCATTTAATCATTACAGGAAACTGCTCAAAGGTTTCAAAACATAATTACTTATATATATATATATATATAGATTTACTTCACTAATTTTATAGCTTATTTTAACCAATACTGAACCAACCTATAACCATTATCAACGTTAACTTAACCCTAACCTTTATTAAATCCTAATTGAAAAATACATCCTTACGTATATAACGCTGTACCATTTTAAAACTACTTCTTAAATTACAAATACACAATAACTACTTTTGTCTTCTTTGTGTCAAACCTATAGGATCCTTTAGATAAAAACCTACCCAACACGAACCGTATTCGAAATTGCAGGAAACCATAAAGGAAAAAAGATAAATATTTATAAATGCCAACAATAATTAGTGAATTATAAAGTACAATGCTATTATTATTCCATTATTGTCTGTAGAAGTAACTTATAAGAATTTAATTTTAGAAACATTACAACTATTCGATGACATCGCCTCGCCTACCAAGGATATAACTGAAGACCAAACTAATCAAATTATCTCGCAACAAGATTGTATGATGGAAGATAAAGCACCTAAAAAGAATATAGTACATGTATGTGTACCCCAAGTATATAAACAAACACAATTTTTTTTTTTATCTATAACCAAATTCATAAGAATGGATTTTTTCGTGCATTTTCACTTTACTTTTTAATGATCTAATCATCTGTTATCATATATTGAGCATTTCAATCTTTAAAAAGGTTTTTGGCTTAATAGTTGTATGACCACTGTTTGTGACCTATATTACTACATGTATAATTTTAAACCACGCCAATAAAAAAAACGAAAATACATTGTTTAAGTACGCTTGTTTTTAATGCTGAACTGATTTGTATTGGTATGCTCAATAAATAATACTGATTTTGAAATAATATGTTTAATACTAATATTTTTGTAGGAAATAAGTTTGACAAGTGAAAACGTGCAGAGCTGCCAAGTATTAATAATGGAAGAAAAAGAAAACCAGGTACACATAAAAACCTACAATAAACAATCTCCATTTTATTTTTTAAACATTTACTGATTATTGTACGGATTTAATATTTCCAACTGGACAGTAGTAAACATTTTCTTGTGAAATAAAATACATATTCAATAATTAAGGTGCTTATAAATCCGTACAGTTTGTAATGAAATGTTATTAAAACGACCCAGATGCAAATTTTGTTATTTTACCTAAATGGTCTTCAAAGAAATTTGTGTTTTTATGTTTTACATGGTTCTAAACCACATTTCAGGTGGAATTTTATTTTTAAAACAGATCGTCTTAATATACTTTTTATATAACAAAATTTATCATAATATAGAATAATTTTGTATATTTAAAATATGTGTGAATGGTATTTTTTAAGGTGGTACAAAATAACACAGCTTCCCCTTACTACAGTGAAATGTATAGAAAAAGATTTGGAAGACCCCCATCTTTAATGAGCTCAGAAAGTCCAAGCAAAAGGATCTATTTACAAGTATTTTTTTATAAAAAATATTCAAAATACTTTAAAAAAAAACACAAAAAAACACAAAATAAAAATATCCAACAATTAATAATTGTTCAAATTATTTGTTTACACATGCATGTATTGTATTAAGTTTCCATGTAAGCTTAAGTTTTGCGTTAATTTAAAATGGTTTTGAAAAATTAAGTTTGGTTTCAAGTAAAATTTGCAAACACGTATTTAAGATTCATTAAACAAACAAATGAACAAACAAATGTTTTACTTTTTAACTTTTGCTTCATTTAAACTTAATAGGAAATTAATGGGAACCAGTCCACACATGGATTTTTCAACACTGGTATCACGCAGTATTTTGATAGTGAACAAATGTATCCCGTTGAATTGTTTGGTAAAAACTCCCTGGACGATATGACCAGCTACATGTTTTATAATGAAGGAGATATAGTTGACTACAGAACCAATCCTGCTATGAACAAAGGGACTGCGGTTTTTAGCAGCGGTTTCTGGAGAAGAGGTGTAGTGATACGAATAGATAAGTGTCCTAGACGAGGCACGCTTTACACTGTTAAGATGTCATAACAGACTTCTGTTTTCAAATAAACAGACACCAGATTCGAATAGCAAAATAAAAATGTATTATTACTAGCAATGGTTTTATAGATTTTTTTTTGTTGATATGATTATTATGTGATCAACGCCGGTTATTAATGATTACCGTAATTACAAATTTAATTTGTACTGTATAAATTAACTTTAGACTGTTGATTGCGTATTGTCCAGTTGCACGTATTTCATGCATATTTAGAGCGAACATACATGTTTTAATGCGCAGAGAAAGGGACTTTTTATACCAGGTATCTGTACAATTTAACTAAACATGTTTACTTACATTTACATACGACATAGTCTAAATGACGCCCCCGCTTTAACCCGGTTTATAATGCCGGTTTAAAAAAGACCTAACGTACTTTATTTTTATTTTTTAATAAAATGGGAAAATTAGTATACGTTAATGAAATAGCAATAACCAAATAACGCTTGATATGGACACGTTTGGGGGATTGGACACGTTTGGGCGTTTATTATAAAATGGACACGTTTGGGCGTTCATACAAATGTTTTGCATGTTTTGCAGTTCAGTGACGTCATGTGGACACGTTTGGGGGGGAAGGACACGTTTCTGAGTGTTACATATATTCTTGGTTAATGTGTACACCAAGTAGATTTGTAACCAGTTTTGCTGCAAGACTGACTTGTTGTTTAGTATCAGTTAAGGTTGGAATCTGTGTTATTGTCACTATCATAAAATTTCTTAACAGGAATGCTTACATTATGGTAATTATATATAATACATACTAGAGGTTTTTTTTTTGTTGTTGCCACCACAAAGGAGACTTTTTTGGTTTTGCCCATAAATGGTAAAATTTTATCAGAAAACCACTTTTTCATATATAAAATATACTTTTTCACTCATTGGAAAATGTTGTTTGTGCTGTATTTAGACCCCTCTACCAAGAAATTTGTTTTGCATGCACACGTATACAAATTGCGGTTTTTATCCAACGCAATCATAGGTTTGAACGTTGTTTTCAATTTAGACTTGTTTATATTTTTTCGTTTGGGCTTGTATTATATTTGCCTTCGGGTTTATATGATCCGTTCATCCTATTTTGACTCTTTCAAAATTCAAGAGTCTATCCTAAATTGAGGTAAATTATATGGCCTTCCAAATACCGTTTCGATTCCTAACATCACTGAAGAGACATTAATTGTCGAAATCCGGATATGGTGTACAAATATTTGCACCTCGTGTTTGCGGTATACCATCTTTTCCGCAAGTTTATTGTTTTCTGTTTGGTAATAAATTAATAATAAGATCTATTTTGTTACATCTTGTGATCCGTTTATTTGGCAATCACCAATGGCAGTCAGCAGGGTTAAAGAACATCAGTTGTTCGACCTGCTAGTCAAATGCGTTTTGTTAAAATATACTTTTTGACTCATTTGGTCTTTTGGAAAATGTTGTTTGTGCTGTATTTAGACCCCTCTACCAAGAAATTTGTTTTGCATGCACACGTATAAAAATTGCGGTTTTTATCCAACGCAATCATAGGTTTGAACGTTGTTTTCAATTTAGACTTGTTTATATTTTTTCGTTTGGGCTTGTAGTATATTTACCTTCGGGTTTATATGATCCGTTCATCCTGTTTTGACTCTTTCAAAATTCAAGAGTCTATCCTAAATTGAGGTAAATTATATGGCCTTCCAAATACCGTTTCGATTCCTTACATCACTGAAGAGACATTAATTGTCGAAATCCGGATATGGTGTACAAATATTTGCACCTCGTGTTTGCGGTATACCATCTTTTCCGCAAGTTTATTGTTTTCTGTTCGGTAATAAATTTATAATAAGATTTATTTTGTTACATCTTGTAATCCGTTTATTTGGCAATCGCCAATGGCAGTTAGCAGGGTTTAAGAACATCAGTTGTTCGACCTGCTAGTCAAATGCGTTTTGTTAAAATATACTTTTTGACTCATTTGGTCTTTTGGAAAATGTTGTTTGTGCTGCATTTAGACCCCTCTACCAAGAAATTTGTTTTGCATGCACACGTATTAAAATTGCGGTTTTTATCCAACGCAATCATAGGTTTGAACGTTGTTTTCAATTTAGACTTGTATATGTATATTATTCCATTTATATTGAAACTATTCATAAATATTATGTGTATTCTATGCCTCATTGGGGCCAAGTGCCATAATCTCTGCACGTTTAAAAACCCTTGCAACAACTCTCTGTGGGGTCTGTAGGTGGCTTGCTTATAGGCAAAATTTCCCTTATTCAACATACCTCCATTTTCCTGTGGCAGTCCAAATGTCTCCCCCTTCATCCTGATAGAACTTACTTTCAGAACTTATCTTTTGTATTGTTTATTTGTTCTCGTTCTGACTATGCATACAATATTTGCCACTGGATGTTTAGCAAGAGACATGAACAATCCATCTATCATAAATATTTCTCCTAAACATTATTAAAATGGAACATGAAGTGGGATCACACAATTTTATTAACTTGTTCTACTTTGTAACATAATAAAAATTTATGTTGATATGAGAGACGAAAAATACCAAAGGGATATTCAAACTCATAAGTCGAAAACGAACTGACAATGCAATGGCAAAAAACAAAAAAGACCAAAAGACAAACAACAGTATACAAACACACCATAGAAAACTAAAGACTGACCAAAAACCGGTGATGATCTTAGGTGCTCTGGAAGGGTTAGCAGATCCTACTTCACATGTGCTACCTGTCATGTTGCTCATGAAAGTACAAACCCGGTGATAAGTCTAAATCTGTATATCACATTATGGGGAAAAGAGGACGGATTGTGGTTACAATATCACAAACAATAGTTTGAACAAAATTCTGTTATCTGATGTAATGCCACTGACTTGCATGAAAAGATTAGTAGAAAAAAATGTTGGTATTTTAAGAAAAATAAAAAGTAAATATAAAAATGAAATGAGATGTGGTAAGATTGCCAATCAGACAACAATCCACCAGCAACCAAAGGACAAGGATTTAGACAACTAAAGTTCACTGTAGAGCTTTCAACAATGAGCAAAATCAATACCTTATAATTTTGTTATGCCCCCGCCGTAGGCAACGTGGGCATTAAGTGTTACCCTTGACCATCCCTCTTTCCGTCTGTCCCATTTTCCCCATTCTTACTTAAGTTTGCCTCATCCAAATTTTATGAAATTCATACACAATGCTATGAACAAAAACTAGCAGACAGAGTTCAAATTTGGGCAGAGAGTCATTTGCCGTTCTATAGTGATGCCCCTTTATAACTTGGAAAATTACAAATTTATTTTTTCCCGCATTCTAACTTAAGTTTGTCTCATCCAAATTATATGAAACTCATACACAATGCTAAGAACCACAGCATGCAGACAGAGTTTGAATTTGGGTTATGGGTCATTCACCGTTCTAGATCTATGCCCCTTTTAAACTTCGAAAATTACAAAGCTTGAGCAGGGGCATTCGGGTCCTCAGACACATTCTTCTTTTATTTTTTGATATTTAAAAAATGTTGTCAGGTAAGCAAGATACATGTATTTATCTGAAACTCCTTACAACTGATCTACCAGCATATAGTATGCTCCAGTCATGCGGATGGGCAGTCGGGTGATAGGGGAAAAGTGGGTACCTAATTTGTGTAATAAACTCCTCCTACAGTTTTCAACACAGATTCCTGAAACTCACAGGAAGATTGCACATATGTTGAAATTGTGCACCTGTTATTATGGAATTGTTTGAGGAATATTTTTTGGAACTTGATTACTTTTCAGCAAAATTTATGAAAGAGGGTACAATTTTTCAAATTATTCTACAGTTTTCAACCAAGACCCCTATCACTTCACAGAAATATTGTGCACATGTTGAAGTTGTACACCTGCTATTATGGAATTGTTTGAAGAATTTTTGCACATTTTTCTGAACTTAGTTATTTTCCAGCATTTACAAAAAAGGGACGAAAGATACCAGAGGGACAGTCAAACTCATGTAATTGATACTACATAGTAAGTAGACTAATCAGTTGAAATTGATATACTTTGTTGTTATGTACTGCTCCAGATAATCTGGTACCAGTCATAGTAATCGAAGACTGATCAGTTTTAACTGGTATATGCTTGGTTGTTGTGTACTACTCCGAGATAATTAGAAATAAAGCTGCATAAAATGGGTGAGTGATGTGGGAAAAATGGCTATGAAAATAGAAACCAGCTTCATAAGTTACAGACAGATATGTAGAAGTTATAACAGAGCTTTCAACTAAATAGCAAACTTTGAACTAACTGCCAGTCAGGTTCTCGGTAGTTTAGGCAGGTTGTAAATGAATTAGGTAGAATTGATCAAAGATCTAACAATTGATTTAAAAGGCTCATAAACTTACTTGCGTGGGTAAAGATTGTGATAACCAATATTTA